CTTGATAACTTCCTATTATTATCTTAAAACTTACATGTCTGTATATATGCATAAATTAACCAATAAAATTTGCCTAAAAAATAGAACATGTTTTTACAATTTATATAGCATTCTTATCTAGAGTTAGAAATTTACTATATAAAATATGCTATATCATAATTGATCAAAACTATATAAGGTCAATCGATAAATTAATAATAAATTTTCTGAAACTTAATTAGTCAGAATATCAAAGATATATAAATTTCAGGTAAAATAATATATTTAATTTTTTTTTGCTCAAATTTTTTAATTATATAAAAAGTTCGTTCTTATCTCTATGATTATGATATATAAAAAATTTGAGTAAAAAATAATAGGTTAGTAAACCTAAACATCTAATTTTGCAAATTCTTAACCAATTCATTTTATTATTCAGATATTAGAACTTCTAACCAATTGATGTAACATCAAAAAATCTGCACTTAGAAATTTAATAATTTTTGTACTAAAAATAAAAATTACAATTCTGAACATAATGATAGATATCTATTAGTGCTAGCCAAACTTTTGTAATATTAGTAAACTATCATGTGACAATGCACTATTCAATATAAAGTTACATTACAATTTCATAAGTTACGTAACAAGTAATTTATATAATGTATTTCTACTCTTATCATTATAGGCCTGATAGGCCTAACTGGGTATGCATATAAAGCCCAAGCCTGGCCCATTCTTCGTAGGGCCCAACCCAACTTGGCCCATAAAAGTTATAGGTTTAAAATTTGAGCCCAATTTAGACCCAAGCCTGGCCTGACCTACAAATTTCCAGGTTTGGCTCGGCCTATTTTGTACCCTAATTACGATCACTAAAAAATAGCATCTTGAGTAAACTTCAATTATGTTATAATTTGCTTATTCAAATTATGTTATGTACTATTAGCTAATCATGCTAAGTTGACTTGAAAACACCTATAATCGTTTAACCCATATAAAGGTTTAAAAGTATCTGGAATTAGAATGATAAAAGACAATGACAAGAAAAAGTAAGTAAATTATAAAAAAAAAAAAGATGATAAACAAGTAAATAAAATCAAAACTCATCTCATTTCTTTTTTTTTTTTTTGTAGATTCGGGATTGGAACAGTAAACAACCACTAGAATCAAAAGCAAGGTAAATAAATTATAAAATAGATAAATGAATAAACAATTTAGAAAAAAAATAAGAACTCGCTTTCAAATTCTTCTTTTATAGGCCCAGAATCAGAATGATGAATTATGTTCGCAAGAAGAGGTAAGTAAATTATAAAAATAAAAGATAAATGAAGACTAACCTTATTTCTTTCTTTTGTAGGTCAAAATCAAAATAACCAGTTAGCAAATTTTACGGTTCGGGTTATCAGGTATATGGTTACTCGAGTTATAGTTTGGATCCCTAGCAATATCTACGACAGCTAAAACCTATGATTTATTTACTACTCTGGATAAAATATGTTAACTTGCATTAGTGTTAAAATTATCTTGTAATTTAAATTCTTTCGCTTTCATCTTTGGTGATCAGCGATTATCAAATCGACGAAAAAAATGCTGATTCTTAAATTTACAACGGATAGCTAAGGAATTTGAATCAGACCACCAATATTTGTGAAAATAATATTTTTACTATCCTTTGTTATTACATTTTAAGTCGCTAAAGTGCAAAATTAAAAGCTAGTACGACGTAAATAATAGCCAATCAGATACAGGGATGTGTGGATTATTGATTTCCTAATTGGTGTATCGATATGTGAAAAATAAAAACAAGTCACGCGGACCAATCAGAACTCAAATTTTGTATATATACTATACACTCATATACATTCGTTCCTGTTATATAGATTTCAAATTTCAGCGCTATGATGTGTTTAAAATGTTTGCTGTCTTTAGCGGTATTCTTTATACTCTTCAGAGCTGAACTACCTCTTAATTATTTTTAATAAATAAATTTGTTTTTTAGGTGCTAATTGCTATATTCAAAATGGTATAGTGTTTTAGTCCCATAAAAAAAGGTCATGTGATCTTTATAATTATTCATATAAAAACCATGACTTGTTAATTATCACTCAAACAAAAATGTTGAAGGTTCTTAAAACTGCATTTTCGTCAAAGAAAGTTCGTTTGCCAAACAAACCATTAGACGAGGCAAGGTAGACATCGCAATAGTTTTGTTTTGAAATGTGTACAGTGTTGACTCGTATAAATTACAGTCTTCCCTATCCACTTGCCTCGGACGTGTTTGTGGAGGAATACAACTTTTTTATCGAAAACAAAGAGATAAGTGGATACAAATTTGAATATAACAACGGCACTGTATATATAGTTGATATGTGCTCAAACGAACATGAAGCTATTGTTGCGTTGATGTACAGGTTCTTCAGTGCTCACTGCCCTATCAGTTCTACTGCTCCAATACAAATACGTGGTCGGCCACGTAAGTGAATTTCTTTCAAATACTTGATCTTTTTTTAATATTTCTCATGTCCTTTCTGTAGTTTATGAATCGCCAGCTGGAGACGGTACTCGCATTTCTCTGTCTATCCACATAAAACTTATGTTCCGAATCCTCCAGTTCCACACCCTGGTCCGCCACCTAGCGATAGAGAGGTATCATATGCATTTTTATGATACTAGTATGGCAGATAGGAAATTTTATAACACTTAATGTAATTGATATAGGGAAACCCTTACGCAAGGATAATTTGTGAAGTAGCCGTGACCCAAACTTCCTCCAACTTGAAGCACAAATGCAAGCTTTGGATGCGACAATCGTACATACGATCTGTACTCGGCATTAAACTTTATGATATAATGAATACACGCAACAACCCACAAGGAGAAAGAGATCGGGCGATGAAGGTATATCTTA